GCAATAGGAAACTGATACAAAGTCTTGCCACTTCTACTCACCTCTCTTAGAACATTTTCTCTGGGAGTTCTGATTCATTTTGAGACTGTCATGATGGTGAAATCAAACACATCTACACTGGTCAGTAGTTCCATGTGAGCCCAAACTCCCAGTCATGTCCAACAAAGTGCCTGGACAAGTGAGTGAAGCCATCTTGGGTCCTGTAACTAGCTCATCTGCCAGCTGTTTACTACGTGACCCCCACAGATACTGCATGAAAGAGACAAATCACCCAGCTGAGCCCTGCCTATATTCCTAATTCATAAAACCATGAGATATAATGCAATGGTCACTGTTTTATGTCACAAATAACTCTAGAGCTCAAGTTATATGCTAAATGATGATTAAAGATGGTTAATAGAATATATCCATTTTATAATGGAAGGAAACCTATTTATGTTATCTGTTTTCTAGGCAGAATCCCTAGTTATAGGGCTACTCTAATATGCTCATTAACTCTAAAACTATTTGTAATTAAGGTTGTTGGAATATACTGCTATAATCAGGTTTCTTCCACACTGGAAAAATAACTAATTGTAACAAAGCTTCGTTTATTTATCCAGAGCCAAGATATAGAAGTTCCCAGCTTATTAGAGATGACTCACTCCTCTTGATTCAATCCACATTTCATATTTTCATCTGTTCTCCTCTTGGAGGTCCGGTTGTTCTTTTACTTTCTTTTACTGTTTCAACTAAGGCACTGAAATATCTTTATTCACAAATGTTAAACTGGAGTATGAAACGTTTTCTTGCCCTCTTTCTTATTCTCTCTGAGCAAAAGCCAAGATTATCTTCAATTCATCCCAGAGGCCAACAGCTTAACAGCTTTGCTACTTCCTTATATAATCCTATACAAAGGGTTGACAAAAATGGGAATACTCATGTTAAGAGTCCAAGATCCCTAGTGGATTTGAACTCCAGGAAAAGTCATATTTGTTTTTATGTATTCTAAGTATGCTATANTGAGCAAAAGCCAAGATTATCTTCAATTCATCCCAGAGGCCAACAGCTTAACAGCTTTGCTACTTCCTTATATAATCCTATACAAAGGGTTGACAAAAATGGGAATACTCATGTTAAGAGTCCAAGATCCCTAGTGGATTTGAACTCCAGGAAAAGTCATATTTGTTTTTATGTATTCTAAGTATGCTATATGGCAAGTTCTCAAAACAAAATTCCTTATCATACCTTAAGTAAATAATCACAAAAGTGGAGAACTACAAGATTAACTTTAGAATTATATGAGATATCTATATGAATGCAGATAAGTGGTTAAAAAAATTTTTTTAAAACATATACAATTACCACTTATACAGAGAAACCAAAAAATGCAAGTTGATTAGGATCTAAGATTGATTAAAAAAACACTGCCCTGTTCCCCTCAAAACATCCATTATTTGTGTGTGTGTGTGTATATATATATAATCTCATTTTTAAAATAACATAAGTACACACTAAAAAAAACATTTCCTAAGAAGCTCCTTTTTTCAAATCATGTCTTTCTTTGTGCCTCCCCAAATGCCAGCTCTTACTTTTCTGTGTAATTCTCCAATGATCATTAATTACAAGTTAATAAGCATGCAAGGCAGCCTCCAAGATGACCCCAATTATTGCCACCTCCTGGTATTCACATACTATACAGTATCTTTCCACAATGTACAACTAGGGCAAAAAAGGATGACTAGCTCTTCTAAGACTGGGTTATGAATTACTGTGGCTTCCAGCTTAGGTCTCTCTCTAGTCACTCATTCTGGAAGAAGCCAGCTGCTATGTCTTGAAACAGTCAGACAGCACTATGGAGACACCCATGTGGCAAGGAACTGAGACTTCGAGCCAACAGCTATGTGAGCGAGTATTCTTGGAACTGGTTCTTCCAGCCCCAGTCAAGACTTCAGATGATGCAGCCCCAGCTGAAAACTTGATTAACACTTCATGAGAGACCTTGAGCCAGAAATAACCCCATAAGCTGCCTCAGGACTCCCAATCCTCAGAAACCATGTGAAATACATATTTGTTTTAAGCTACTATGTTTTGAGGTAATTTGTTGTATAGTAATGTATAACTAATACAATGAATCCTGCTCATTCTTGAAAAACCAAATTGATATTTCAAATGTTTTTAAAAATAATTACAAATAGAAATAGTAATTGCAGAAATTTGAAAACAAATTTGGTTTTAAAAGCTCAGATAAAATTAAAAGGCAATAGTAATAGTATCAGCACAACAATGTACTATCAGAAGAATATGGACTCTTTCTGGAAGAAAGCAGGTTGAACAGATAAGTTGAGAACATAACATCTACTTTTTTAAAACTAGGGAGGAAATCAGTTTGTAATTTAAAAATCACAATATCTTACTTAACAGTAACAAGACATCCCACAAAGTCTGTTTTATCTATTACAAATGAATTCTAAGGCTTTATCTTGCCACAGATTGTATCAAATGCCTACTAATAAACACATAAGAAAGTAAGGACAAATGTGACAAATTTCACCAGCAGACCCCACTTCCATTTCAAAGCACATTTCCTGTAATGTTTCCACACCGAATCCAAAACACTACATTAGATCATGCAAGCACACGCTTTCCAAAAACATATAAGATTTCCTATTATAAGAAACAGCTCTTTTAATGATTTATTTCATTAGAAAGTGCACTTAGTACACACACATTTAAAACACAGGCTGAGTATTTTAAAACACTCAAAAAGCAACAATAAAAGAAAAACATGACAATTTTTCATTTGTCTGGGGAAAAAATTTATTTCAGCAATAGATTGAGCTGTATGCATTCTTGACGTAAGAAATCTCTTTACCTTAAATGGTTAATGAATAGGATAATTTACTAGTTATGGTCCCAGTTATCTCCCTCAAAACTATATGCACTGATATTGAAAACTGTATTAGTATTAAGGCTATATTAAAAATTAAAGCATCATCATCAATAAATGTCACATGAGTCAAAGGGCACTAATTTAGTCATCAACATTGGTAAAATTAGTTGACTTAAACTTTACAATTGTTTAGCTTGTAAGTCAAATAAGCATTTGACTACTGCATTGTTTCCTATATCCTTGCTTGTTTATCTTGAACAAACACAATTTAAATTACCAATTTCTCTCTCATGTAACTTACACATTATTAAGTTTGGCACTAACTGATCTCCATTGACTGAAATTTATAGGTTCTTTCCAGAATATTTAAAACCATGTTAAATTTTAAAGCATTATCTTCACTGGAAAATGTAGCATTCCTACCACAATACTATTGGCATGTGCTAAAACAATAAGGTATAAGGTAAAATTTATCCATGTGTATCACAGTACATGCTTTTCATGAACTGTCATAAAATCATATTAAGAAGGCCCTCCAATCTTGAAACAATGTTAATGCAGAATTTCTAAGAAATTACTTAGAAAAGGCCAAATGTGCGTTCAAACAGTCTTGTCCATGGAGAAAGATTCCTAAAACTAATGCTCTGGCATGGATATCTTTACAGTTTTTTCCAATGGTCACATTTTCGGAAATGATTTAAAATAATCACACACTGAGTGCACATATAGCTTACAAATATGCTAATATCTGATTATGACTTCATATAATATCATGATTACATATTGAGTAACCGAATTGATTGGGATGTCACATTTTTCCTACAGAAGCACTGTGGGTAGACAATGTCTGGAATGATCCAATACCATAAATTGTTCCACAATTCCCTGAACTGAGGAAAATAAAGCAGTTAAAAGGCCCAACTAACAAAAAGTTTCTGAAAAACTAGTACAGAAAAACCATGCTTATTGAGGTACATAATTCTTTCCTTTATTCCTATCCACAGATCACTTTCAAGTGGCTCTGGCAAATGAAACGTCTTTTTCCAAATAAATGGGCTCTTAACGTAAGGAATCTATGGAATGTTTATTTACCTACCAACCCTGAAGGAAGGGAGGAGTAAACTTAGGGGAAGAAACCACAACTTTCAAACACACCAGAATGTAATATAAAACAGCAGCAATGTATTTTGTCTGTATTAAGGTATTTAAATGGCAAAGGTATTTTAAGAATGAATGATTGATCACTGGTCCCTTTCACCTCTTCTGGTTTTCTGACTTTTTAGCTTTTTCACTTGGACTCAAATTCTGACCTACCAGCATTCTGCACTGGTTTTAAAAATATCCTCTTTTAATATGTTAGCTTAAAAATAGCTTGGTTTTCACCATTCTAGATTATTTTTGAGCAGAAGTCTGCTTTTTATTGTAGAGTCACAGATTTCCAGAAAAAAATATCTTCCTATCTACTGCATCCTTTCATCCTCTGGGGAAACAAAAGAAAGAGGAGTTTAACTTGGGCAGCACCAAACCTAAGACGGACTGACTTGCCAGTCTGTATGTGCTGTTGCTGGTCTACTCCACTCTTTCCATTTCCCAGGAAAATGTTTCCTTCGGCTGTTCATATGGATCCAACTGGAGGTGTGTGCAAACAGGCAGCTGAGAGTATCTCCGCCTTAATAAGCAACATCCTTTCTTCCGAACCCACACATCTTTTGATAACCATTCAACAAAGTTTCCTCCTGCCTGTCGGCTTAGCCACCTGCACGGCTGCCCGTTCCCAGGAAAAGCAGAACGAGCTAGAGGACAGGAGGACTGGGGTGGGGGGTGGGGGGCGGTGAACACGGCAAATCCAAAGAAAATCGGGTCCTCGTCGGTTGGTAACTGGGGCTGAGCTCCGATTCTGAGGCTGGGGAGGAACCAGCCAAGCGTTGGCCCCGGCTACCTGGCACTATCCGCGCCTGTCCTACCTGCCCCGAGGGCACTCAGGAGGCGGAAAGTTCCCCTCCTCCAAAGTCCCAGGCACAAGGCCAGGAAGGCGAGGGTAGCGGCGGCCAGGGGCCCAGGCCGAGATGCGGGCGGGGGAAGGGAGGGGGCCGGGCCCCCGGGATCGCCCGCCTCGGGTCCCCCTTACCTTGGGCGATGGCGATGGACTCGAAGCGNCACAGGGATGAGTCAGCCACGCGCCGCCCTTCTCCGGCACCGCCCTCCCTTACCGCCGGTTTTCCCACCCTCTGGCCGGCGCTAGTCCGCACTCCTCACGTCTGCCTCAAAGCAGGCGCGCTCTCGGGCCACAGCCGCCGCCGCTACCCCTAGCGGCAGGGTAGGGGGTAGCGGGGCGGGGCGAAGGAAAGGGGCGGGTAGGGGGCGGTGCCGCGCAGGCGCAGTGCGCAGGCTCGCGGGCCGCGCGCGCTCTCCAGCGTGAGACGAGTGCACGCGCGTCCTCCCGCCCTCCGGTGCGTGAAGGTGCCCAGAGGGCCGTGGCTGCCGGCCCAGGCCTCCGCCACGTTTGAGTCCAGACTCGGGGGTACGGAAGAAGAGCCTTGAGCCCCTCGCTGGGCTCGGTAGTCCGACTGCCACCCCGCCCGCCCTAGCGTCATACCTGAATTTGAGGCTGGTTCTGAATGATGGTTCAGCGTGTGGCCTCCTTCGCTTGGGACGGGCCTCACCACACCGCCCTGCTCAGCCTTTGGGTGATTGAAGCGCTCAAGCCGCGCCGTTTGCCAAGTCACCGCACACCCAGGCTTCCGCCGGACCCCTATCTCTGGAAACTGTAAAGGGAAGGCAAAGTCATGTCTACCCCTTCCCAAGAAGTCTTTGAGACCTTGACACTGAGAACACTTTCCCCCGTTTTGATGCAAGCACTTTACACATTGTTAATGCTGGAGCCCAAGGCAAGAATGTCGCAGACCTTTCCAGGTGTTTGTTTAGGTCTGTTGTGTTGTTTTTTTCATCTATGCTGAGACGGAAAGAATTCTGCGATTTTCCACCATTTGCACGTGTCCTAGGCATTTTTGGAGGAGTCACGGGGTCTCCTTTTACGAGCTTTCATTGTCTCTTTTCCTAAGGGAGGAGATCTCTGCTCTGTCTGAACTCTCTGATGGCACTTAGGCTTCCTGGCTTCTTAGAGAATAGATCCACTTAGAGAATAAATCTGCTCAAGTGTAATCAAGACCTAAATCCTATCCTTATATCCGCTGCTGCACCCAGCCCAAGACCATGTATGCAGTCGATGTGCTGTAAAAATGTAAGTACAAAAAATGTGAGTCGTTGGAGGAACGTCATCACCAAATCCTTCTACTGCTCTGACTCAGTGGTTCTCAGAGTATGGTCCCTAGCCAACAGAATTTGTTAGACGTGCAAATTCAGGTGCTCCGCCAGAGACTTCCTGAATCTGAAACTGGGTTTTGGACCCAGTCATCTGCGTTTTAACAGGCCCTCCAATTAATACTAATTCCTTCCCTGGTGGCTCAGATGGTAAAGAATCTGCCTGCAATGCGGGAGACCCAGGTTTGATCCCTGGGTTGGGAAGATCCCCTGGAGAAGGGAATGACAACCCACTCCTGTATTCTTTCCTAGAGAATTCCATGGACAGAGGAGCCTGGAGGGGGCTACAGTCCATAAGGTTGCAAGAAGTCAGACATGACTGAGTGACTAACACATCACACACACACACACACACACACACACACACACAGACAAAAGTTTAAGAACCACTACTCTAACTTAAACAGGGAAAGCATTTTTAAAAATTTTAAATTTCAGGGCAGTGCTCCTGTTGTAATGATAATTAAGAATGTTCTCTGTGGAAAATGCAAGCTCTTAAGAGTGAAGAGACTTTCTTGTCTTTGAAACCTCCTACATCCCCCATGGTGTGTTGGAATGTTCTACAGAGTTATTTAAGTCTCAAATTCTTGAGATTTCTACCACCTTCCCCCATATATACTTTCTACCCCCAAGAGATTCTGATTCATTGGGTTTGGGGTGGGGCCTGGGAAGAGAAATTTGAAAAAGCTCTTCAGTAAGAATTCCCAGCAGTCTCCAGGACACCAGTTTTGTGTGTAGGCTCCAAAAGCATAGATTGCTGAAAGTTCAATAATTGGATCAGTCACTTCCTAGCTAAGTGTTAGTGTTCGATTATTCCATTATGGTCCCAATGAATCATGCCTTGTGGTATCCACCCCCTTGTGTAGACCTGTACCATAGGATTGTGGGCTTGGCCATGTGATACTTTCAGCAGTAAGTAGGACATAACAACCATGTTCCGATAAGTGCTTGTTCTTTGAGGCTTGCTGAAATGTGTTTGCTGCATGCTTTATGAGTGATCAGCTCTGCTACAGAGAATAAGAGAAACGAAAACATAGACACAATTTGCTTATAAGACATGTTACACATAGACTGAGTGGGTATGTGTTAAACATAAAAAGGCTGGAACAAATGAAAGCGCTACTTTAGGAACTTACCTGGTGGTCCAGTGGTCAAGAATCTGCCTTCTAATGCAAGGTACGTGTGTTGAATTCCTAGTTGGAAAACTAAGATTCCACATGCTGCGGGGCCACTAAGCCCGTGTACGGCAACTAGAGAGAAGCTTCGTAGATCCTGCATGCCATAGCTAAGACCCAATGCAGTCAAATAAATAAAGTTCTACTTTAGATAGAAAGAAATAGACCAAGGGAACTTTAAATATTAATAAGGCATGGATCATACTACCTCTAGACTGACAACTATGTTATCACCAACTCGTGATATCCATTATGCCCACATTACAGCCTTATATAGTCTCTGCACAGATAAATCTAGCAGATAAATTATTCTAGCAGATGAATCCCTAGCTACTTAGCCACCTGATGGCCAGCTATGGTTCTGACAAGACACACTTCCCTTGTGTTGATTCCAGGCCCCTTCAATCTGCTGAAACCCCTCACTTCCTCTCCACTCTAGTTCTTAAAACTATGCCATCTATAGAGAAGACTGGCAGAGACTGTTAACACATATGAACATTGTATAAAACAAAATGGTTTTTACTATGGTCCTTCCACCCTGCCTATGTCTCATCCTAAGCTTGTTTATCTGCTTGTTTATCTCTTTCTCCTTGCTTCTCACTCTGTTCTAAATTGGTTACTCTTGCTGGCCTTTGAGTGAACACGTTAAACCAAACTTAGTGGCTTAACTAGGCAGTTTATCCTGCTCATGATATAGTAACAGGAATTCAGGAAGGAATTGCTTGGGCAGTTCTTTGTTAGAGTCTCTTATCAGATGTCACTGCAACTGCAGTCATTTAAAGGCTCATCAAGGCTGGATATCCAAGATGGCACAGTCATGTGGCTGACAATTGATGCTGATTGTTGTCTGGCTGGAAGCTCAGCTGGGACTGTGAACCAGAATACCTTCACACACCCCTCCAACAGGTCAGACTTCTCACATGGCAGCTGGCTTCCCTGAGAGCAAGTGTCTGAAAAAATACCAGGTTCATGACCTTTAATGACTTATCCTAAGGAATCATGAAGTATCACTTCCACTTATTCTACCAGCCACCAGTAAGCCACTAGGGCCAGCCCATGTAACAGGGAGATGGTGAAGAACAGGGGAGCCTGACATGCTGCAGTCCATGGGGTCAGACACCACCAAGAGACTGAATAACAATGGACCGCCACCTCTCAATGGAAAAAGTGTCAGAGAATTTAGGGACATGTTTTAAAGCTGCCACCTAACAATGTGATTCACACATCTTAATTTGGTTTATAAGCCTATCTGTTCCATGACAAATGGTACAGTCTCGGAATTCAGCTGCCATGTAAAGAGTTTTGGAGTATCCTGCTGGAAAAGCCGCGTGGAGGAGGAGGTGACAGCCAATAGCCCCAGCTAAATACCAGACACATGCATGAGGTCTTCTTGGACCATTCAGTCCCTGTCAAGCCCCAGATGACAACATTGCAAAGTGATTGAGATCATTCGCTCTGAAGGCAGACTAGGTTTTGAGTCCCTACTCTACTGCTTACTAGCTATGCATGTATAACCTTGTATAACCTAGCTGTATAACTGCTCATGTCTTTGATGGTAATAAGATGGTAATAAGATGTTGCTAAGTTTGCTTATATGTTAAATGGAGGTAAGGGTATCTGCTTTAGAAAGTCATAGTGAAAGTAAATATCTGTAAAGCACTTCAAACAGCACTTGAAACATGTAAGTGCTCAATGCATTATTATTACCCTAATTCCTGTGGACCCCTCAAACCTCTAGGGTTAGGTCTTTGGACCCTAATTTGGGAAATGCCTACCTAGCTATCATCATTTGATACACATATCACGTGTACTAACTGGATCCCCTATCCACTGTTTCTCTGAACACTTGAATACCCTAAATATGAATAAATGAAGGAGATGGGGGCAGGGTCCGTGTATGGAGCAATGGAGAAGGGTAGGATAAGGCAGGTCTACCTGTGGGCAGCAAGAGGAAGGTTGTGAGGAAATGGGAGGGTGCTGAGCAGGTAGCTTCAGCAGATTGGAGAAGATTACAGAAGTGAAAGACGGAGAGAAGGAAGTCCCAGAAGGCAATCTTGGCCTGGGCTCAGCAGAACCTGCTCTTAACTCTTCACTTTTCAAGATGACAAACATCATGCCTCAGTTAACAATCACTGTCTCCTCCTCATGAAAAATTGTTGCCAAATCAGCAGTCCACAATAGGTTACATCATACAGATGCTCTCCAGAACTCCTGGCATCCCTGTTCATGGTATGGTACAAGGCCATGTTCTGTCTATATCTTATGATATGTTATATACCCAGCTATTGCTGTCCACTTTATTTTAATTTTTTTAAGATTTTTTAATGTGGACCATTTTAAAAGTCTTTATTGTTACATATTGTTTCCATTTTATGTCAGGTTTTGTTTTTGTTTTTTTTTTTTTTTGGCTGCGAGGCATGTAGGATCTTAGTTTCCTGACTAAGAATCGAAGCTGTGGCCCCTGCATTGAAAGCATGGAGTCCTTTTTTTTTTTTTTTTGAAAGCATGGAGTCTTAACCACTGGACCTCAAAGGAAGTCCCTTTTGTTGTTTGGTTTTGAAGGAAAATAAGGCATCAACTCAGACTTTATTGAATAACTTTTAAATAGACATTTTATTAAATTATCTTCTAACACGTTGCTGTTGTTTAGTGACTAAGTCATGTCTGCCTCTTTTGCAACCCAACAGACTGTAACCTGCCAG